CCCGTGGGTGGCGGTGCTGTACACCTGGGGCCTGGCACAGGTCAGTACTGCACTTTAAATTTAGATTTAAAAAAATGTTTTCGTTTGGTCATTTTCAGATCTGGATAAATATTGATAAGATACTAATAATGTAGCTGTACTTCCAGACTTTATTACCTCATTGTCTAAATGTGTCCTTCCTGCCTTTTTGATATTTTATTCTTCCTTTCTGCATTGTCTCCTTCACTTCTTATATTTCCTTTCTTTCTGTTCTTCTTATGGTCTTTTTTTCCCTTCTTTCCTCACTTATCTCCTTCTGTGTTTTTCCTTTTGTCCAAACCATCCCTTCTCTTCTCCTTCATTCTTTCCCTTTTTTGTTTTCGCAGGCTGTATGATTAAGTAATAGTATGTCTCTTTTTAATACAAGGCCTGCAAATAACTGTGAACTCCAGAAAATGTAGAATTTCTGCATGGAAAACTGCAGCAACTCTGCAAACGGCATATTCTCAGACTCGACCCGTTCCTGTGTCTCCATGTTTCTGTCAGTGTGTGGTGTTTGCAGGGCACCTAAATGCTGTGGCGAGTCTTGTGACAGTCTTCTACTTACTTGCTTATGCTGCTGTAGATCTGGCCTGTCTGGCTCTAGAGTGGGCATCTGCACCAAACTTCAGGTAAAAATATTTCCTGTCAAAAACTCTTCTCATATATTTTTTTCTTCCTTGACTCCAGACTGTCTGGATCCAGTTTTCAGGGGTTCTTTGCGTTTCCTCCTTGTGTTTTGACAGACCGACCTTTCAGCTCTTCTCGTGGCACACCTGCCTGCTGGGGATCCTCAGCTGTTTGGTCATGATGTTTGTGATCAACCCTGTGTATTCTTCAGGCAGCATCGTCCTGCTGCTACTGCTGCTGCTTTTCCTCCACTACAGGTCACCCACAAGCAGCTGGGGCTACATCAGCCAGGCTCTCATTTTTCACCAGGTATCTGGACGCAACATATGCAGAACTCGGGCACGTTCCCCTTCGTGACTGTGTCGTTTCTGTTTGGGCATTGATGTGTGTGTAGGTGCGGAAGTATCTGTTAATGCTGGATGTGAGGAAAGACCATGTGAAGTTCTGGAGGCCCCAAGTCCTGCTGATGGTGTCCAACCCGCGCTCCTCCTGCCAGCTTATTCTGTTTGTGAACCAGCTGAAGAAGGGCGGGCTGTACGTGTTGGGGCATGTGCAGCTGGGAGATCTGGGTAATTATCTGTTTTTGATCTGTAATGTCCCCTTCAATGATCTTCTTTTTCAAAACTTTAATTCTTTCACTCCCACCTTGATGTAAGAATGAAATTGTGTCTCTGTCATTTGAGGGAGGGTATTTAGTCGTATAGTTTCATCTCCCTTGAGCTTTTTAAAATTTTGTCACTTCAGTATCACACATTGTATTGGATTTTGCAGGAATTTTACCTGATAGACCAACACAAATAAGCTCACAGCTGAGAAGTGTTAAGGGGGTGAACTGTGAGCTCATGTGTTAAGCTCATGCTGAGATTAAGTATTGGCTCAATACTTAATCTCTATACTCAATTGGATATTTGTCTGAACTTTGACTGGGCCATTTCGAACACATAAAAATGCATTTATCTAATCCATAACATTGCTGCTCGGGCTGAATGTTCAGAGTCTCTGCTGGAGAAATGCAGAGCGCCTCCTTCAACTTGTGTGTCCTCTACATAGTTTTTTTGGAAACCTTTCTATCAGACTACGCTTTTGTCAGTTTATCTCCTAAAATCTCCACAAAATTCATTGTTGTGTTTGTAATGTGACAAAATATTAATAATGTATGAATACTTTTGCTAAGTACGCCCAACGGGTGTCCTAGTCATGTGCCTGGAAGTATGCCACTGCTGTTATACATCAGCATGTGATGGTTTTGTCATTCATTCTAATGCAACACATCCGGTTTAGCAAGACGTGGTGAGGCAGTAGGTGTCCGTAAGTTTACATACACTACAATAGGCTCCTCTTGGGTTTGGCCTTTTCCCCAGTGCTGCTGTTGCAAATATCAACAAAGGTTTTCTCTGAACTGCCACCTGAGTGTTAGTCATATGAATATTCATTTCAGCCTAAATGGGTCATTACTTTTGTCTCCATGAACTCCAGGAAAATGCTTTAAGACAACAAGATGAAGTCATAGAAATTATGCACTTTTTAATTCTAGTTTCTTTTTCTTTCCTTTTTTTCTTGCTTTTTGTTGTTTTTTTTTTCAGTTTTTTGTATGTATGCCCCCTAGTGCTGTAGAAAACTCATTACAACCCCATTGCTATAATAACTGCAGGTTACCTTTATTGATACAAAGTAAACTCTTTATGAAATTCATCAAGACTATTCCATTTTCACACATTATTTATTAGTTATGTTAATTAGTGGAGATCTTTTTCTGATTTTATCATAAACTAAACACCAGATTTCCAGCCGAAGCAAATCAAGTTTTATTGTATTGCTTAACATTTCATCATTACTTCAAATAAATTGACACAGATCACAAACATATTAGTCCTCAAGGTGCAAAATATGGAATAAAATACTAATACTTAAAGTGTGTTTACGTTCAACGTTTACGTCAGACTTTCCTAGAGTAGGAAAGTCTGTTGCGTGCCACTCAACATATTTTCTTTAATATATCCGCATAGCAAACTTAATTCCCTTTAACGGTAATAATTTTTGTTAATTAGGGTCATGCTGTAATAAATGCTTTGTATTTCAGACTCCCTGCCATCAGATCCTGTCCAGACCCAGTACAACTTCTGGCTGAGTCTGGTTGATAAACTAGGTGTGAAGGCCTTTGTAGACCTCACTCTGTCTCCTTCAGTCAGACAGGGAACACAGCATCTGCTGCGCATCACAGGACTTGGTAAACGTTTCACCACCTTCTGTCTACACCATTGTTTTGTCTGCATGTGCCGGGTCTGATTTTTGCGCATCTTTCTCCAAGGTGGTATGAAGCCCAACACTCTGATTCTGGGTTTCTATGACAGCTGCACTCCGGATGATTTCTTCCTGCAGGACTCCGCCTTCTGCCGTTCATCTGCGGGAGAAGGCAGTGAGGGGGAATATAATTTTGGGGTGGACCTGCCTTCGCTGCAAGCCCATTTCCCTCCTGTCCGACACGTCGAGAGCCCCCGATGGCTGTCGCCGGACGAGTACGTTGGCATCATTTCCGACGCCATCAAAATGAAGAAAAACGTGTGCCTCGGCAGATACTTCTTCCAGCTACAGGGAGAAGGCAAAGATAGCAAAGTGGACGGGTCTGAGCGGACGATAGACGTGTGGCCGCTCAACCTGCTCCAGCCGGGCAACCAGGACTACCAGGACGTGTGCAGTCTGTTCCTGCTGCAGATGGCCTGCGTGCTCAACATGTCAAGCAAGTGGCGCCATGCAAGAATGCGGATCTTCTTGAATGTGGAGACGGGCTCCTCTGACCAGAGCTGGGTGGTCAATGAAGAGACGTTTCGGGAGCTGCTGAGGAAGCTGAGGATCAGGGCGTCCATCAAGATTGTGCCGTGGGACTCCGTGGTGCAGCACTACGCTCTGCCAGAGGGGGAGCGCTGCGAAGAGCCAACGCCAGGTTTATCTGACGACTTCCTGTCTGCAGTGAACCGCATGTTGATGGAGCACAGCTCTCAGGCTGCCGTGCGATTCCTGTATTTACCTCGGCCCCCTGCTGGTCGAAACCAGTCACAGCACTACTTGACTCAGCTGGAAGCAGTGACCAGAGGTTTAGGGCCGACGCTGTTGATTCATGGGGTCACCCCGGTCACGTACACTGATCTCTGAGCACGTTTCGTCTCATTTGATGATGTAAATATCACAAAGTCTTAGTTCTCTGTTTTCTTAAAACTAAGTAGAACCAATTCTGCATCAAATATTATTTAAGAATGTTATTCTGCAGTATTTATTTGTTTTACCACCTGATTTTTTTTTCTTTGCTTGGAACAGGTCCACATTCAAGTAGCACTTCAAGTTTAATAGGAATCATTCCTCCTTCATATACTTGAAATGGCTTTGTACTAAAAAGCCAGCATATTTGTGGTCATAATTTTTCTTGATAGAACTTCTTTGCAAAACTGTGTCTCCAACGGAACGATGAGAGAAATAAACATGTTAAAACACAATTTATGTTTATATTTCTTTCTCTTTGAAGCCAGAATTGTTGTCTTTCTCTTCAAGACAGCATACTGTCTTGAAGACTGTATGCTAAATGTCTATGGAGAAACTAGTTACTATACTTTAATGTTTTTTTTTTTTTTTAACAAACACACTGTCTTCAAACTTTAAAGCTTCTCATTTTCTCTTCTGAGCTTTTAAATCTTAATTTATTCCAGAAGTACATAATTTGGTTATTGGTCGGTTCTTTCTAGCAGCTTTGTTTTCTTAGATGTGTTTGGGGTCATCCTCTCCTCTCTCCACTGCAGTTATTGATTGTCCTCTTAACCTTTATGCATCCCCTAATTGATTAAACCTTTATTTAATACACATTTTTCATTCCTTCCAATTAATTTGCAGATTTCTGTGTTACTGCCTTCTTCAAATATTGTCTGTTTGTTACTCAGTGTTTTTCTGCTTAAAATGACTTATAGGAAACTAATTGTGTGTCATTCAAAGCTGCGTTCATGCCCACGGTACCACCAGTGGACATGCTGGACAGCACATGGGCATACCTTTAAACAGGCTGAGATTTATATATTAAATGCATGTATTTGTTTACTAAATACATACATACAAAGCAACATATTTTTCTGAGGCACATAAATATCAATCTGTGATGAATCTTATTTTGCTTTTTGAATTATTTGTGTGGTTGTAGCAGTTATGCTACTGTGATGATAACAATAATACTGGAGGAGAGTAAATTTAGCTCAACTGTCGTCAATGAGACATAAAACACACAAACCTGATATATTAATGAATAAATGTTTATAATATATGAGGACGTATAATGCCTGCATCGGTCAACATAAAGTCAATGGTCATTTCAGTGAAATTAAAAAAACAAAACAACCTTTATTTTTTTCCCCAGATTCACACCTCTGCCTCGGGTTCTTCTGTCAGACAGGATTCTATCCTCACACTTTTCCTCAGCCGCTGGATGAAAAATGTTGACATCCGAAGCCAGTCCGGCACGAGAATGGAGAAGGCCACACTCTGTAGGATTTTGGGCAAGCAGAGAAAAGTGAAGAGACAGTTTGAAACCTTGGAACAGATCATGGCTTATTGCTGCTCTGCTCTGACCTGCAGTGCATGGGACAGACAGCCGCTGGTGAAGGTGGAGTGACCCACAGTGTTCAAAGCCTCATAGACGAACTCTGGAGGACTCTTCACAAACAAGCTGACTTTTAGTTTTTTTGTCATGTTGGTGGACACCATGAATGGGGTCACGCACTGAGGAACAGTAACATCAAAATTAGATAACATAACAACAAAGGTCAAGACTCATTTTTAAAGATGCACGCTTTTTCAACTGAATGACAAATTATCCTTGATTTAACACAAGATAACAAATCTATTAGTTGATAGAAATGATGTGATGACCTTAAGCTGAAGTAACTTTAATGGGATTTTATCCTCCACCTGAGAACTATTCTCATTAGTGGTGCAAAAATATGATGTTCAATTGATTTGGTCTTCTTGGACATGGACATTGTTATTCTCTGGTCTTGTTCTTGACTCTGTGTTGGGTTATCCATTGAAGCACTGACACATTGGAAAGTCACCCAAACTCTTAAATAGATTTTCCTATCCTCTGAAAGGCTGCAGTCATCCCCATTCCTTCTGCACCTTTTCTATAACGTGTTTTCCTTCCACTCAACTTCCCCATTCATATGGTTGTTTATAGCACCCCGTGAAAGTCTTTCGCGGTAAGACACGTCAAGCATGTGTGCCGGACAAGTCACGAGTCCTCTTGCATGATTCTTCAGGTCAAAATGGGAAAATAAAATTAATGGGTTAAAAATATTTCGTATAACTGTTTTCTCAAAACAATCTTAATATTCTGAGAAAATGTTGGAGTTTCATTAGTTGTAATTCATAATAATTAAATGAACAAAACAAATGCCTGTTATTCTTAGAAAGCCAGTTAAGTAAGGATAGTATTGCATATCAACTTGTTTATCCTTTGTAATAGCATAAAATATTAAATGACAAAAAAATGTTGAGTTATTTTCAATCTAGAAAGAAACCAATTGGATTAGTTCATCCAATTATTTGACCTTCAGTCCACACCATTATATTTCAGTCATAAATGTAATGTATCATAAAGACAAATGCAGTTTTAGAGAGGGCAGGTGTGCATTACCTGGACTGTGATTCCCACTGACTTGTACTCAGCATGTAAACACTTGGAGAAATGTATCACAAAAATCTGTAACAAAGTATACGTAACGTTGAGGGTCATTGAGTGAGCAGGTTATGATGGGTTTGAATGAATGTGTGAAAATGAACACCAGAAAAAGACCTTGGTGGCCGAATAGAGAGACACCAGTGGATGTGGACGGACACCCATTTCAGAGGAGATGTTGATGATTAATCCTTTGCCTCTGGAAAAGGAAACCCAAATGTTTATAAATCTGGTCATCCTAATGCTGCATGTTATTGATGTGTCTGTGGATACCTGAGCACCATGCGAGGAAGAATCAGCCTGGTCATCTGTATTGTGACAACATAATAGTTTTATAGATAGGAAGTTGTATGAAACCCATTAGATGGTATGTTAGCGTAGACATCTTACCTGGGGTACAGAGAGTATGTTACAATTGACGATCTCAGTGATTTTCTGTTCAAAATAAATAGAAATAACATTAGAAAATACATATTAGCCTCAGTTAGTTTAAATCATCTGGTGTTTGGCCCTAAAAAGGGATATTTATAATGGATCACCTTTCCGGGATTTGGTGTTTCCAGAAAATAGGCAAAATGATCATTGCAGATCATTCCAACGTTGTTAACTGTGAGGTTCAAGACACAAGAACTTTCATTAATAAACACCACCGTTGTCTTATTTTGAAGGGAAAAGCAGTAAGTGTCAGATATATAATAAATCAAAACACTGTTTCTCTTGTCTGGAGATTTGAATTAGTCAAATATCTTCTTTCACTTGTAGGAGATTCAGACAGCCCATACATCTCTTGACACGTAAGTAATCTGTGTCTTGAACAGAAGAGTCTGTCCGCCTGTCCATCTACATGGAAACCAACCTTTGAGCTGACCAGTAGGTGGCAGCAGTTCTCTCCTAATTAAGTCTTACTTTAGGTTTTAGCTCAGGCATCAGCCATGCTATGCAATTGTTTTTAACTGTTGGAGGAGATTTTGAATATGGAGAAAAACTTAAAAAGAGTAAAACACAGAAATGTTTTTAATGTTAAACACAAACTGCTTATGAATAATAACTTGTAATTGTGTTTTTCTATATTACCCAGAATTCCAATCTCCAGGTCATGGATCTCCTGAGCTATGGTTGAGTAGATGCTGCCACCTTCTGTGAAGTCCACTTTGATGGTGTGAGTCTTTCGTCCGTACTTGCTTTCTGAGGCAGACGGTAGATGTTTGTTAACCGTTTAAGAGAAATTAAATGAGTTTATTGGCCATGACGACAACATTAGAGGACATCTCCATCTTCATCTCTGCTTGACTCACCGATTTCTTTGGCAACCTTTTGAAGCCTCTCATCAGACCTTCCTATTAAAACAACATCCAGACCCCGACGTGCCAACTGGAGGAAGACATGCAGACAGATGGTGAAGATGCTGCAGCTCAGACAAATATCTGTCTTGTTAAATATGTAGATTCTGTCTTAAATTACTACACACAGATATAAGAAATCTGAAATCTAATTTTTCTGAAATGAACCCGCAAACTCACCTCAGTTGCATAAGCCCTACCAATGCCAGACGTGGCACCAGTTACAACTGCACAAAAATAAGTAGAGAAATGTCAACTTTGTAGAATGTCTAGCGATTTAAAAATACAAAATTTTAAGTTTGGTAGGACAGATTCTTTTAGCAAACTGATCAAAATGTACACAATATAATTTCACAATTCAGACAACTTTAAGCTCTTTTTAAGCTAAGAAAAGCTTAAAAAGACCCGAGCTAAAGATGAGGGATGAGGTAAGCAGTAAATGACTGAAAACGTCCTGAGCTTATGTTTTGCTATAAGTGAGTGAGATTTACAGTTCAAGTTGTGGCCTGGGAAAACTCGCCTCCCATAATCCCTGCCCTCAAGGAAAAATGACATTCTGCGGTTTATGCAGTGTAGACCCCACACAAAGCATGTTAGCTAGTAAGTTAGTATTTTCATGAGAAGGGGATCTTAACACATGAATGACAGCAACAGAAAAACATTTTCCTAGCTTCAGTTAGAGCACAGAAATGTACAGAAGATGCGTCAGTAGCAAAACTATCTTAGTAGCTTGAATGCTTTAGAGCAGTGATCACCAAATGGTTCAGCTAATAGTCAATGGTGGTAGAAAAGTCAGGGGAAGACTGTTAACCTGTTTTGCATATGTATGAAACAATAACACACTAAATGTCATTCTTGACAGCAAGGTTTCCCCATAAAACTTATTAAGCCCAGTGGTTGGGTCCCAGGGCAGACATTCATCCAGCGGCCCGTCGTGTTTTTGAGTTAAAAAATGTTTAAAATTGACAAGAAATTTGAAAAGATCACTTCATAATCATGTTTTCGAAAGATTGGAAGATCAATGTCTCAACACCAACTATATATATTTTAAAAAATACTTAAATAAATAATTAATGTTTAGCCTGATGGGGCACCAGGCTGATAATACACTGGGAGAAACCAAGTGGACGTTTCACAAGTCTAGAATGAAAGAATAATTTCACAAAAAGCTGCTTTTGCATATTACATGTTCCACTTGTGGAATTTTAACCATATAAATGAGTAAATATAACGGCTGAGGAAGGCTTATAAAGCCAATTATGTTTTAACTTTTTTTTTTTCATCAAAAATACTTGGTTGGTTGAATTTTTGTGTGTGTTTGTGTGTGCACAAACTTTACTTTACCTGCCCATTGTCCATACTTTGTCAGGTTCGCCTGACAAAGCGACGACAAGACATACTGTCTGAATCCACAGCAACATGTCCAGGTGAGTTTCAGCAGGCAGAGAGCCAAGATTAATAATCCAAAGAGCACCAGAACATCAGTCAGCAGCGTCTTAGAGGAGAACTCCAGGCCAAGCAGCATTTTCAGCTGAATGTGCAAGAATTTAGTAACAGCTTTCTCCTTTTTATAATAGAAGAAATGAAAACATTTAGTTTGTGCTTTCTCCCCACATTTCTCCACCTCCTCTTAGTCATTTTCCAAGACGTTGCTGCAGTAGGGTGTTTGTTGACACGGTGAACTTGTTGACACAGAAAGTAGTTCAAAGAAGCAAATGTCCTCTGACTTTAACAAAATGTCCAACCAGGTTCTGATCCAACAATATTTAATATTTTAACCTGCTGAAGTATTTGAGTCATATGAACTTGATAAAGCGTGATAGAGTTACAACCAATTTACCATATTTAAACATATAATTTTTTAAAGATAAACCACGATTTGTTTTGAGTCAAAGCATTAAATAGATACAACTAGTCTGCACCGATTGCATCTAATCACAAGAGGCCCAAGCAAAGAATCAAGATGGTAACAGAGAAGAATCACAGGAGTGATTCAGGCTGCTTTTCTATCAGCAGCTTTATAGAATCATAAATGGAAAAAACAGCAACACATTTCCCCCAATATCACACAGTGCAGAAAAAGAACTAATTAATAAACCAAACACAGTAATGACCTGCCAGGTATCAGTGTTTTCACATGTTTCTTACCAGTATAATAACACAAGTTCACAGCCTTTTGCCGTTAGTCCAACGGCCAATAACCCAAAACAAAACGACCCAAATGGGAGCAACTTTTCCTAAGTTCCCACATATAAAACAATTATCATCTGCAAAAGCCAATTATAAGACCGAAATAAGACAGTTATAAATCTACGTCACGACATGATTCCTCATAAAAAGGACAACAAAAACCTTTAAAGCTTCTTCCGTTACAGTCCAACGGCAAACACCCAAAAGACGCACAGAGAAGCTGCATCAAAGCCCCCATAAAACCTAAAATATGCTTTTAAAGTTTACAAAAATAATAAACTGTCATCTATAAAATGTCCTCGCAATGTAAAGGATACAGACATGCAACGTTTGAACAAGCATTACCTGTGCAACGTGTGAAGGAATCGCAGGAGTGATTTTAGGTTTGCTTCTTTCTCATCAACAGGTTCAATGAATGAGAGGATGACATCGCAAAAGCCCCCTAGTGGTGAACGTGGTACTACTGGTCGATTTCAAGTTGCTTTTTTAAAACATAACAAACATTAATGCAGCACAAGTTCATTTAAATAATTTCTAGACTTAAATATGTGCATAGATATCAATTCAAAACCCTTTTTAATGCTATAAAATCACATGAATAGTTACATGAAATATCACAGAGCTGCACTGAAGAGACAGTTAGTCTTCAGCCTGTCACATGTTATGATGTGTCAACTGTTTGTTTCATTTAAAGGGAATGTTTGACAAGCTGATACTCCCTGTGGTTAAATGACAGAGTGACAACAACGGTGATAGCGCACAGAATGTGCAAATCCAGTCCTGTCGCCCAAATGATAGGAAAATGCTGGCTATCAACAAACGCTGTCCGTCTGATAAATTACATTGTCATTTTGTTTTGAGAAAATTTCTCTATTCAAACTCCTTTCACTACTAAACATCATATATGTGTATTTTTCCTTTTTACTCCTCACTGGTTAAGTAAATGCAACATTTTTGTTTGACAAGCCAGATAATGCGAGCAAAACTTTCATTTTAATAACAAATGAGTATAACCTGTCAATGGATCCAAGTTGTTGCTTTCTTGGGCGAAAAACTTGCATGTTCGCTCCAGATCTTTCTGAAGCTGCCTGGGCCTCTTCAGCTCGTTCCTTTGACTCCACTTTCTGAAATTTCGTGAGTTGCACCAGTTCGTGTTTGGTTTACGGTGAAATGTTGACTTTCCCACTTCCAAACGTTGTCCCCTGAGGAACGCAGGTACACTTTCAGGAGTTTGGAAACACAGTTTTATATCTGTAAAATTGTGTTATTGTTTTTTGTTTGTTTTGAAGGATTACTGAAAACAGGAAGACTATTTATGCTATGAATTAATGAATGGAAAAGGGGTATGATTATATAAGTTATACTCATACTCCTTCATACATCGTACTCCTTTTCAGACTCACAGTCACCAAATAAGTGGTGTATTTACATGTATTTACGTATGTAAATTTGATAGTAAGGTATTAAGATCTTATTATTATCTTTTGTTTTGCTGATGAAATGTCTGTCTGAAATAAATTATCATCAAATCAAATCAAAATCATGAAAAGCTTTTTTTGTGACGCCTCCATAATCAGAATCTCTTTCACATTACTTCTTACTAAATCAGATGATGTTGCTTTGAAAATTCCTGTTGTTTTCTTGACTTTTATACATTTTCTTGGAGTTTTCTGAATATCTTGTAATGCCTCTTTATTTTAATTCACGCATGACAGAGTGACAACATAGAATGTGCGCTATCACTACACATTCTTAGTTACTTCTTACTAAGGGACTTAGTTTTGTGTGTTTCTGAATTAGTCATAGATTCCAACATGTGGTGTAATTTTCTAGTTTCTAAAAATAACATTGACATGTTTAATACTACGCCTCTCATCCCTACTGCAGTTGGAAATCGTCCTCTTAACCTTTACTCACTTTCTACTGATCTTGTATTTTGATTTCTTCCGATTAATTCACAGTTTTTTTTTTATATTACAGCCGTCTTGACGCATATTTTCCTTCAGGAGCAAATCTCCGTATCACAAGGACACAGTTTTTGATGCTGCACTCACGTCATGAAGCAATACATCACATTGGTCATGGAGTCTGTAGAAACAGTGGAGATTCACAGAAACAAGTTACTGAAGTTTTTACAGTGAGTCCAGTGTAATCCAAAGCTGCTTTCATGGCCACAGTTCCGCCAGTGGATATGCTGTACAGCACATGGGCAAACAGGTGGATATATATATATATTTTTTTTTGTTTGTTTGTTTTTTGTTGTTTTTGTTTGTTTGTTTACATAGAGGTGTTTTTAAGTTCTTCACTGTTTTTTTATTTATGAGGAACATAAATATCAATCTGTCAGTGATCTAATTTTGCTTTGTGCATAATTCACAGGCAGTTTTTCAGTTACTTTTGTCACTGTAGCATTGCAGAGTTATGCTACAGTAATGACCTTCTTCAAGTGCTCAACTCTCATGATGAGACAGAAAAGACACAAACCTGATCCGTAAATGAATAAATGAAATATATCTATTTTTATTTTCTGTTGTAATAAGATGACTTCTTACAATGCCAGCATTTGGAAACAAGAAAGTCAGAGATCATTTCAGTCAAAGATTTACTTCTTTTTCTTTCTAGAGAGACTCTTTTCTGCCTGAGGAGTTTTTTTCTGTAAGGCTTCTATATTCCCATATTTCCTCAGCCACCGGATGAAAAATGTCGACATCCGAATCCAGTCCGGCACGAAAACGGAGATGGCCACACTCTGTAGGATTTTGGGCAAGCAGAGAAAAGTGAAGAGACAGTTTGAAACCTTGGAACAGATCATGGCTTATTGCTGCTCTGCTCTGACCTGCAGTGCATGGGACAGACAGCCGCTGGTGAAGGTGGAGTGACCCACAGTGTTCAAAGCTGCATAGACGAATCCTGAAGCACTCTTCACAAGCAAGTTGGCATTTACGTTGTTTGTCATGTTGGTGGACACCATGAATGGGGTCACGCACTGAGGAACAGTAACATTGAAATTAGATAGTATAACAACAAAGGTCAAGACTCATTTTTAAAGATGCACGCTTGTTCAACTGAATGACAAATTAACCTTGGTTTATCTCTCAAAAGTATGCCAGAAAAAATACCAATCTATTCTTATATTTCTGTGTCATCCATGTACAATTGCAATAAAAACATTCTATATAATTTTCTAAACTGATTTATGTTGATACAATCTTCCAAGTCCTGATCCAAATTCACTCCACAGACTGGAATGCCCAGGCTTCTCATTGGTCTATGTGCTTTTTGCTTTCTAACACTCATTGGTTAAGTCATCTTCTAATGTTTTCTGGTAAGTGATCATTTCTTACTCTCTGTATTATTTGACCAGTTTTGTAATTGACAGAATCCATGAATGTTGTCTATTTCAAACAGTAATTAATTTGTATGGTCGAAATATCCCATTTTAATAATTATCCCTACTGCTTTTTATGTTCATTGTGCAAAGTGGCTGAAAAGTGTTTTTTTTAAGTATTTCCCCAAATTTCCACACAGTAATTCAAATATGAGGACAGCATTGAAAAGTATAACTTTGAGGATTCCTGGTTTATCAAATGCCTCGTTTTTGCCAAAACTGTAAAACTTTTTGTTAGTTTTGGTTTTACACGCCTAAAGTGACTCTTCCAGCAGATCGAACATAATACAAAGAAATTTATTCTCATTTACTTGTTCAATGCAGATATTATTCATCGCTACTGCATCCATTATTTTTTGTTTTCCAAGCCATATAATTTTATGTGTTGATAAAGCATTGCAAATTTATTTGTTGTCCAGTGTAATCTCATTGATTACAAAGGGCAAAAAAAGAGAAACAAAGGTTGATCAAAGCTTCTTTTAATCTATAAAGAAAGCAAGTAAATTGAAAAGGCTACATTTTTCAATCATAAATTAACTTTAAGATTAATCCAAATGCAGTTTTAGAGAGGGCAGGTGTGCATTACCTGGACTGTGATTCCCTCTGACTTGTACTCAGCATGTAAACACTTGGAGAAATATATCACAAAAATCTGTAACAAAGTATACGTAACGTTGAGGGTCATTGAGTGAGCAGGTTATGATGGGTTTGAATGAATGTGTGAAAATAAACACCTTGGTGGCCGAATAGAGAGACACCAGTGGATGTGGACGGACACCCACTTCAGAGGAGATGTTGATGATTAATCCTTTGCCTCTGGGAATGAGATGAAACCCAAATGTTTATAAATCTGGTCATCCTAATGCTGCATGTTATTGATGTGTCTGTGGATACCTGAGCACCATGCGAGGAAGAATCAGCCTGGTCATCTGTATTGTGACAACATAATAGTTTTATAGATAGGAAGTTGTATGAAACCCACTAGATGGTATGTTAGCGTAGACATCTTACCTGGGGTACAGAGAGTATGTTACAATTGATGATCTCAGTGATTTTCTGTTAAATAAATAGAAATAACATTAGAAAATACATAATAGCCTCAGTTAGTTTAAATCATCTGGTGTTTGGCCCTAAAAAGGGATATTTATAATGGATCACCTTTCCGTGATTTGGTGTTTCCAGAAAATAGGCAAAATGATCATTGCAGATCATTCCAACGTTGTTAACTGTGAGGTTCAAGACACAAGAACTTTCATTAATAAACACCACCGTTGTCTTATTTTGAAGGGAAAAGCAGCAAACAAAAGATGAATAATGAAACGCAACGCTTGTTTTTAACTGTTGGAGGAGATTTTGAACATGGAGGAAAACTTAAAAAGAGCAAAACACAGAAATGTTTTTAATGTTAAACACAAACTGCTTATGAATAATAACTTGTAATTGTGTTTTTCTATATTACCCAGAATTCCAATCTCCAGGTCATGGATCTCCTGAGCTATGGTTGAGTAGATGCTGCCACCTTCTGTGAAGTCCACTTTGATGGTGTGAGTCTTTCGTCCGTACTTGCTTTCTGAGGCAGACGGTAGATGTGTGTTAACCGTTTAAGAGAAATTAAATGAGTTTATTGGCCATGACGACAACATTAGAGGACATCTCCATCTTCATCTCTGCCTGACTCACTGATTTCTTTGGCAACCTTTTGAAGCCTCTCATCACACCTTCCTATTAAAACAACATCCAGACCCCGACGTGCCAACTGCAGGAAGACATGCAGACAGATGGTGAAGATGCTGCAGCTCAGACAAATATCTGTCTTGTTAAATATGTAGATTCTGTCTTAAATTACTATACCCACAGATATGATCAATACATCAAATATGAAATCTATTTTTTCTGAAATGAAGCTGCAAACTCACCTGAATGGCATAAGATTTACCAATGCCACACGTGGCACCGGTTACAACTGCACAAAGAAATTAGTAGAGAAATGTCAACTTTGTTGAGCATCGGAACATCGGATGAGTGTCTGAAACACCAAAAATACATTAGTACTGTGTAAATAAT